ACACATTAAACTATTTCTACAGCGTAGTTTTTTATCACTGTTAATTTTTTTTAATCATTATTAATTTCTTCCGGAGCATAGTTCATAAACTCAATTTGAAATGCTTACTGCACTCTTGGATCGAAGAGATGATGTTAGAATATTATATAATCACCGTGGAATTAGGGGCGGAACTAGGAAGAAGGGTGGGTGACATGGCACCCTTAATTTAAATTTGTTTTACATTTTAGTACTAACCTCTTGAAATTTTTAATTATACTCTTTAATTTTACATGTTTTGCACCCAAAAATTATTTATTTTCTCGTTTGCCCTTCAACTTAAATTTCTAGTTCTGCTCCTGAGCGAAATGGCTCGAGGTTCAATATACGAGATCGTGATTTATTTCTTATTTAGGGATATAGGCTTTGTACAAATGGTCTTGCATGTGTTAAATGCACATAAAGTTGATCAAAATATAATATCTTGTGTTTTTTTTTTCCATTTAGTTTTTAATTTTGCTATTGTTTTTTTTATAATTATATCAATTTTATGTTTATTAGATGTTTTCTCAATTAATGATATAATTTCATCAGAATATATATTAATTAAAAAAATTTGCTTGATAGGTGCATAACTACTTTGTAAGAAACAAGTCTTACATCATGAGAAGCGTGCTTGAAAGCTTGAAGGTTGCTTATGCATCAAGGAAACAACATGTATAATTATAAGTTTTCACAGTCCTCGTATGTGACTCGTATATTTCAAGAAAAATTGATTAATGCACTGCGCACATCGCAGTATAGTTTGCTATAGTACAAAGATGATGATCATAGCTATAGACCAATGCCAGAAAAATAGTTAATTAAATTATCAATTAATTCGATGCTTCAAAGAGTTTTCATGTATGTTAAGTTTTCGGAGGTAATGATTCAGTTTGTTTTTTGTATGATGAGATTGGTATTTAATTTATTTTTATATCCTAAAATGAGATAATTATATCTCTAGATTTTAAGTGTGTTTTCAATTTGTTTTTCTGATTAATTTTTCCAACCAAACCATTAGAAAAAATTCACGTGACTTTCATATAATTATTTAAGAGATATTTTTAAAAAAAAAATCCCATACAAGTCAAGTGTTTTTTTTTCCATGGTTTAGCAAAACTTTATCAGAAAGACAGACTAAAAACTAAAATAAAATACAGAGATATAAATAAGAATAAATTAAACATTTAACATATTATATAAGTGTTGGACCATCCTTGTATTTCTTTCATTTTCTGAATTTAATTTTGCAAATTCTATCGTATTCATGATGACATTTCGGGAATTTGAAAAATAATTACTTCCAGATTCATACATATCTTTTGTCTTCTTGGTTATATATAATACACTTGATTTCGACTAATGGGAATTATACACATCTAATTAATTCAATGACTGGAAATCTACAGTCAAAAAATGAGTTTTCTAATTTTAATAATTAGAGTGACATTCAATAGCTGACTTATTTAACCTAAATCCAAGAACGACTTCACCTAAGTGGATCGAGACAATTTTTTAGTCCCTTGTTTTGGCATGGCTTCCTTTTAATCTAAAAAGCCTCTATTTTCCACATGTTTTCGATTAAATTCCTGAAATGAAAATGTTTTTTTTTCAATACTATTAAAAAAAAAGTTCGATTAATTGAATGAACAAAATATTCTTGTTGTTTTTTATGATTGATGCAGATGTGAATTTTTTTTAATGTTTATTTTCACAAAATAGATTTATAAATACTATTTACGGAGGTTAACCATCTTGTTTTGGCTATCAAGGAAAGACTTATTTTTTACATTTCTCATAAACTTTTTTTTTTTTGAAAAAAGACATGCTGCACATACTCATACAAACATATTTTTGAGGTGCTATTTGATAATCATGAATAGAGTGATGAGACAATTTTTTAGTCCCTTGTTTTGGCATGGCTTCCTTTTAATCTAAAAAGCCTATATTTTCCACATGTTTTCGATTAAATTCCCGAAATGAAAATGTTTTTTTTTTCAATACTATTAAAAAAAAAGTTCGATTAATTGAATGAACAAAATATTCTTGTTGTTTTTTATGATTGATGCGGATGTGAATTTTTTTAATGTTTATTTTCACAAAATAGATTTATAAATACTATTTACGGAGGTTAACCATCTTGTTTTGGCTATCAAGGAAAGACTTATTTTTTACATTTCTCATAAACTTTTTTTTTTAAAAAAAAGACATGCTGCACATACTCATACAAACATATTTTTGATGTGCTATTTGATAATCATGAATAGAGTGATGAGACAATTTTTTAGTCTCTTGTTTTGGCATGGCTTCCTTTTAATCTAAAAAGCCTCTATTTTCCACATGTTTTCGATTAAATTCCCGAAATGAAAATGTTTTTTTTTTCAATACTATTAAAAAAAAAGTTCGATTAATTGAATGAACAAAATATTCTTGTTGTTGTTTTATGATTGATGCAGATGTGAATTTTTTTTAATGTTTATTTTCACAAAATAGATTTATAAATACTATTTACGGAGGTTAACCATCTTGTTTTGGCTATCAAGGAAAGACTTATTTTTTACATTTCTCATAAACTTTTTTTTTTTAAAAAAGACATGCTGCACATACTCATACAAACATATTTTTGAGGTGCTATTTGATAATCATGAATAGAGTGATGAGAATGAGAATAAAAGTTTTATTTTCATATGGTCATATTGTAATTGTTTAGTTAAAAAGAATAAATGAGAACGAGAATGAAGAGTGAAAATGAGAATGAAAATTTATATACGACTTTATTCTCATATAAAATGTGAGAATAAAAATAAAGAATGAAAATGATTTTTTTTTCAAAATAATAATATATTTTATTTATATATTGTCTATTAACTGCGTTTACCACCACCACCATTGTAATCATCACTAGCACCACCACCGCAACCACTACCACTATCATAACCTTTATTATTTTTACAACCATTATTGTTTGATAAATTTAATTTTTCAATCATTATTTTTATTTGTATAAAAAATCAGATATTAAAAAATTTAAATTACATTTCGATTTCTTATTAATATTCTAGACACGGTATGAGAATATAAATATCATTCCGATTTCATAATTTTTATTTCGATTTTTACATTTTCATTTCGAACCTTTTATTCCTAATAATCAAATGACACCTGAATTTTTAAAATTAATGATGTCAACAAAGCAATATGACCAGGCAATAAAAACATAAAGATTTAAGATCAGAGTCAAGTATCAATTGTATCATAGGTTATAGAATTCCCCAATTAATCCCAAACTATCTAATTAATTAAAGAGCTTGTTCACATCACGGCGTAAAGCATAATATCATCAAGATCCCTTTCGTTTACCTGTATTAGTTTCAAGTTGACACATTCAATAGTATTTTTTTTTTATCATTAAAGTGAAATAAATAGAGAGAGAGAGAGAGAGATTAACCCCGGCCTTTGAAAGCGTCAAAGCACAAAACGCATCTCTCTAGCAGACAAAACTAGGTAGTTCATAGATCTTGGTCGAAAAAACTTTACCATATTATTAGGGTCATCCTTAAATTGTCCTCAGCTAAGGTTTTGGTGGGTATGTTTTAGCAAGAGTTGGATTCGTTTTCTTGCTTCCGATACCACATGAGAAAAAAAGGACCATTCATAAGACACGAGTGTCCCCCCTTTGATCTACAATGAAACCACTTTATTATAAGCAAATGTCACCCTCAGGCACCGACACTTTATTTCACGTGTGTGATCATAATCGAATTTGTTCACAAAAGGGGCTGCCGATTCAAACCCAACTTTTGCCTACTCCATAGATCCTTTCACTGCTCCAGCTGGGACCGATCCAAATCTCCACTGCTATTTTATTAATTACAAATCCATGAGTGGGACTCAATCTGATCCAACACATGCAACACAAGAAATCGATTCTGATTCCCGTGGACACAAATTAACTAACAATTAATAGAAATTTTATAATACACAACAAATAACTAGTAACATATATAGTTATTATTTATTGGATCTACTTTGATGAGAGAGATAAACACAAAAAAAAGAGAAAAAATAAAAAAAACTAAACGAATGTGAAAATCTTTTTATCATTTTTTATAGGTCAAAATGTAATTTAATATGTCTATCTCTCTCCTTAAAGTGAATCCAATGAATAACTTATGTACATGTCACTAGTTATTTTTTTCGTATTATAAAATTTTATGCAATACCGTCATGTCATTTGCAATGCAAGGAAAACCTATCAACATAATAAAAGGCATCATGGAAAAAAAGAAAGAAAAAAAGGCATGAAGCATTTGGGTCGTGGACTTATAAATGGAAAGCCCAAAAATGATAACAAATTGGGCTTAGTCAAGGCTTAGCCTAGCCCATTTTGAAAATCAGTTTATTATATCACCTGGGTCCAAGTCCAATCTTTATCTTTACTTTTTTCTTGACAAAGATAAGGAAAATGACAGAATCCTGGCTTGGTTCGTCCCCACCTCTAAAAAAAAAAAAAAAAAAAAAAACCAATGAATAGACACAAAGTGTGATGATCCTTTCATTTGGAGATCTTAACAGTGATAAATTATTTTCAAGGATAAGTTTATCTAATTGGGTACAATCAGCGTCAGCATAGCCCAAATTAATCAACAGTAGCAAATATGATTAAAAAAAAAAATCTAAAAGGATTAACGAGAAGCACTGATTTTAAGTAGCCGAGTATTTCTCTTTTACCGCGTCAAGAACCGCTAAAAACCCAACAAATGTTACCATCCTCGACATCCACAAAACCAAAGTTCGCGCCTCTATATTTATAACGGTTTTCCTCTTCCCCTAACAATCGCTTCTCTTCGATAACCCAACTTTCCCGCTCTATAAACAAACCACAACAACAAACGTTAATGTTACAAGACAAGACCAGAAGAAGAGTGAGAGATCATTGATCCAAAAGAAAGAAAGAAAGAAGTGATCAAGCAATGACAATGGAGGTTGTAGATGTAGCACCAACTCCAACTCCTCCGACTCCTACCCCAGCACCAACGCCAACGACAGAAACAATCACACTTGCACAGCACAAGAAGAACAGGATTCAAGTCTCTAACACCAAAAAACCTCTCTTCTTTTATGTCAATCTCGCCAAGGTACCCCTACCACTTTTTCTTATTTTACTGGGTATTTTTTGTTTTTGTTTTTAATCATGTATGTTTTGGGTCGTTTAATGTTTCAGTCTAGTTATGTATTAATGCCTTATTTTTTTTGTTTCATTTTGTGTCATTTGATAGTTTCTATCTTCGCATTTTGTTTTTGTTTGGAAGTTAGTTTTATAATTGGTTATGGATCTTATATGAAAATCCTGCATTTTATGTAGAAAAGTTGTTTTGGTAATATATGCATGTATGTATCTTTAATTTATTGAAACAATTCAATTTATCTTTCTAACTTACTGGATTTTTTTTTGTTGATCTGCCTATAGCATTCAAGTGATCAAGTGTTATTTGTCTATGCTCAATATTTCCATTACTTTGAGATCATATATTTTTATGGTTTTAGATTCTGTTATGTGGGAGTGTTTTTGGAGAATCAAGTACATGCGTCTTTGTAGATAAACATTGATGTTTTGATGATTCTTCTTCTTTTTTTCCCTACTATAAAGGTGCCTACCTTTTAGTTTACTATTATTCAAGTGCTGTAGTCTTTATAGTTCATCTGAAACTTTTCTGCCAATATATAGAGGAACTCGTTTTTTCTTTTTAAGTGCTGTAGCCTATATTGTTTTCTGGTCATAGATCTCTTGAATAATTTGATAAAAGAATCATGATGGATCGTCTTTAAGTGGAGTTAGAAAATTTATCCTCTTTCGGTATGTTAGGACTTAGTATTAATTATTTGGTTATCTATCTGGCACAACTCTTTGAAATGGGACAGTAGACAAAAATTAAATGATTAAAATGAGATTTATGTTTCATTATTTCCCTTTTCTTCTGCGATGTGGAATTAATGTCATTCTTACGAGAAAATAATGCCTACAATTAGTGTGATTTACAAGGACATTTTAAAATTTGCTGATGATGTGAACTTTATAACGTTGAGACTAGATCGCATGCTCTTTTGGGTTGTACAGCACCTGGATCTGTGTCTCTGATTTTTATTTTAATCATGTATTGTGCTTTTGTTGCAGAGGTACATGCAGCAGTATAATGAGGTTGAGCTTTCTGCCTTGGGCATGGGTATGTTCTACAATGCCACTTCTCATAATTTTGTAATATTATTTACTTGTCTATGGAGTGGTAGTTTTGTCTTGCTGGTGGAGTTTCTGCCATCAATAAGCCACTAACAGTCTATGGAATCGTAGGAGATGGTATTGAGCAATTGTTGCTGTGTCATGTAGAGCACCACAGTGACAACAAGACCAAAGAAGAAGTTCCTAAAATGGTTCTCTAAGCTTTGGTTTATCAAGACCATACGAATGTAGAACATTTTTAGTTAACAGTTGAAAATGGTTTCTGCAAAGATGCATTCATAATTGTGTTAGTGTCTGCTTTTGGTTTTAAACAAACGTCCATTCTGTAGAGGGAGGAAAATATTTATAAGAGATGGAAGAAAACAATATATTTGTAATGTGGTTATCATGTTTGTTTAAAATTTATTTTACATTTTATTGCAGCAATCACCACAGTTGTTACAATTGCTGAGATTTTGAAGAACAATGGATTGGCTACCGAGAAGAGTAAGAATTTCATCCTTCTAATACTTAGATTCTTTCTTGTATTTGTGATGAGGATAGATTCATAATAACTTTTTATGGAACGAAACAGAAGTTTTGACATCTACCGTAGGCATGATAGATGAGAACAAAGGACGTCAGATTCAGAAAGCTAAGGTATGTTTAACTTCATTATGAATCTTAATTTGATCCATCATTCTCTCATGTATGATAATTATAAGGCTTTTTTATTTTTTCCCTTTTCTTTGTGGTTACTGATTGACTATTCTTCCTTGAATTTTAGATTGAGATTGTGTTGGGCAAGTCGGAGAAATTTGACAGCCTGATGAATGCTGCCAATGTTGCTCCAGAGGAGGAGGCAGCGAAAGATAAGAAGGATGATGAGAAACAGTGAAGCAATTTTGATGTTCTCTTGCTGTAGTTCTATATCCACATTTTTATTTTCTGTCTGCCTAGTAGTGATAGGACTTATTTTTTCATAAAGTATTTTATTATGGATAATTTAGTAGGAGTAGAGAGACTGTGGCATAATGGGACTTGCAGTTGTATATATGCCTCTCTTTGCTCTGATTACAGACATGTAGAGATCATAAATGTTATACTGTTTCTTTGTTCACATGTAGTCTTTCTGCGAATCTGCATTGAAAGGATTGTGTGAGCATCTAATATCTGCAAGATTTACTTATAAAATCTATTCTATATATAAGGATTGTTGGAACAGTATATCTGATAGGATTTGGGAACTGGGTGCGACACGCCAACGACATTGCACTTTACATATGTTGGTAAGAAATAGTAAAATGTTATGTTTATTGTGGTCAGGATTTGATCATCATAAATTCTGTCTAAAAATACCATATATGTCATACTTGGATAGGAATTAATTCATGACTGAAATCACATCTGTCATTCATGCGTAAACAGTTATCATCGGCTGACGTATATTTAAGGATTGGAAAGCCTTTTCTTGCCCTTAGATTAGTTTTGCTAGGAACTTGTTAGGTATAGTGTTTGGAAATTGCTCCGCCGCCATTGAGGTTCAGTTCGAGGTTTTAATAAGCCTTTCCTCTCTGTTAGTCCATCAATAAAAGTTTCGCGATCAACAATGATTTTTCAGGATTACATTCGGTATGTCTAGATCTTAATGCTGACTATGATTTGGCTATCAATAACAATTTTTTTGTTCATTTTTTTTTTAGTTCGATTCATGCATGCTTCAGTTTGCAAACATGTTTGGTATAGTTAGATCCAGTTTTTCTGAATACCTGTGCAAAGGAAATCATGTTATTGTTTCTCCAGCCCAAAGTTCCTGCTATTCCTTATTTTTTTGACATCTGCTTCATTGCTTGGGATGCTTTCATTCTTTTCCATCCGTTAGCATTTGTTTAGATCTGTTAGCGAAATCATTTTTCCTTAAATTAACTAGTTCATTGTTAGATAATACCATGTGCTGATCTTGATTGTATTGAAATCTCCTGTTAGATTTCTAATTAGGAAAAGAAGACAAAAGTGATTAGAGAAGCTGCAGGCTTTATCAGCTTTTGTGATGATCTGACAGAATCATTTCTAAGCATGCCTAGTTTTTCTCTTCTTGGACAGCTAGGGGGCTAGTTCCTCTCATTCTTTGTGTAATTTACAGATTGTCATCCGACATCTTTTATATCAGATCTTTAATGTTGTTTCCTGATATATTTAACTCTTACACACCTAGAGTGCTTTTTAAAGGATAAATATTTTGCAAACAGTTTTGAAATATATGAACCTATTTGCTAATTCACAGAGTGTAATCCTGACAGGCAAACACTCACCTTTTGAAAAGAAACTCAAGTTTATAGCAGTTTGTATGCACTTACACAACATAGCTTTAGATAGACAGTAGCTCCAAGTCAGGATGCCCTATTCACCAGTAAGTCTTAGATATTGACAGAGGATTATCCTTTCAATAACCAGTCTCTGAGTCTTCTGCATGAGTCAAGGTGTTAGATTCCATAGAGATGTAGTTAGTTATGAACTCATGAATTTAACTTGTCAAAGATTCAGGTTTTGAAGAAGTTTATATAGAGGTAACTTCGTTGTAAACTTTAAAGTATTCAGTCTTCAACAAAGACCTATCTTATCCAAAATCTTGGAAGCATTTCTTTCAGGATCACTGAATGGAATGCTATTCGCAAACAGAACTGTAGGCTTATTGCTTTCCAAAGTTTCACCTGTCAGACGCAATTCACAGATCTCTATTCATGCAATTAGTCCTCAATTTTATATTTTTCATTGGCTAGACATTATAGATTGTTGTATGCTTGTGTTTTAAGCCTATCCCATTATAAATTATAACCCAACCAAACTAGGGTTGTCTTCGTCATTTTTTAGTCAAAACAAGGACCACATTGCACACTCAAGATTTTATCCGTGCCACACTAATCATGCAATTAAGCCCTCAATTTTATATCTTTCATTGGATAGATTATAACCCAACCAAATTAGGGTTGTCTTTGTCATTTTCTAGTCAAAACAAGGACCACATTGCAAACTCAAGATTTTATCCGTGCCGCACTAATCATGCAATCAACTCCTCAATTTTATATCTTTCATTGGATAGATGGTATAGATTGTTGTATGCTTGTGTTTTAAGCCTAGCCCATTATAAGTTATAACCCAAACAGATTAGGATTGTAAACAAGAACCACATTACACACTCACTCAACATTTTATTTGTGCTACACTAATCATTCAATTAAGTCCTCAATTTTATATTTTTCATTAACTAGGCAGTATAGATTGTTTTTAAGCCTATCGCCTTGTAAGTTATAACCCAACCACGTTAGGGTTGTTTCCGTCATTTTCTAATCAAGACAAAGACCACAGTGCACACTCAAGATTTTATCGGTGCCACAAAAGCAAAACCCAAAAATCCCCTTAAACGGAAACCAACTTTTTTTTAAACGCGCAAACACCTCGTACACAAAACACACACCCCTCTCTCTCCGTATCTGCTGCAAACTTTTCTATTCTTGAGAGACCTACTCCTAAAACCTAAAAAGTCCACCAAATCTCTCTCCAATATTCACTGCTTTACAAAACCCAGATTTTCTACTTGTCTCTTAATGTAAGTTCTTACTTAAATTCGTCTTCTTTGCGTTATTACTGTACTTATTTAGGGTTTTATGTGTTAGTTCTTGTATCGCTGTTGTTGGGTTCTTTCTTTAATGCTTTGTTTTGAAGTCATTAAGGTTATTTGGCTGTGACCCTTTAATCTGCTTTTGATGATTAACGATTCTACGCTCGTTTTCGTTCTCAAAAGTTCTTTTTTAGATTGATGAATTAGGGCTTGCTGTTTTCTTGTTTAATATGGGTGGTTTTGCAGTAGTATACAGTGCATGATATTTGTGGGGGTCTGTTTTCCACAGATTCTGTAAGATATGCGCGCATGTGTGTTTGTATATTGTTGAGGGGTTATTGGGTTTGGGTGCTTTTGTTGATTTTTTTTGATAGAATTAATGGAGTTTTGACAGAGAAATTCTTGTCTTTAATAAAGAAAGAAGAAACTAGGCCAGTTTTCCTTTAGAGGAACTGAGAAAAGCATAATTTTTTTCATTTGTTATATGTATTTACTAGAGATATGGATGGAAGTTAAAATTCCTTAGTCTAGTCGAGTGATATTTGAGGGGGCAGGTTAATGTATAGGTGAAAGCTAGCTGATGACAGGGGGGTGTAAGATTCCCATTAGACAAATGTCTCTTGCATTGTAAGTGTAAATTTTGGTTTTAAATGCTATTTTGTTTGATACTGCTTTCATCATATTGATTCTCGCTGAAAAGATCTGAAAAATCAACAGGAGGATTAAAAAAAAAAAAATTTCATCATTTGTTCCTGCATGTAGTACTATTGACATGACATGTTTGAGATGTTTATGAGTGGGTGATGCTCGCCTTGTATATGTGGCTTCTTAGCTTAATTGTTTGATGGCAGAATCATTATTATTCCTGCCTTTTTCTTGAGCTTCTATACCCTGCAGTTTTAATCTGGCTCCAGGTTGTGGAAAACTAAGTTCAGATGCTTGTAGAGAGCAATGCAAACTTTCCCATCTTTTTTTTTATGGTAGTAACCCCGCGCCGGGGGGGGGTGTTAATTTGATGCTTTGTTGCAAGTTAGGTGCTGAGAGTTATTTGCTATAAGGACTTCTATAACTTTTCTTTTTTCTATATGATTTGGATAGTTAGGTTTTATAAATGAATTTCTTTCTTTCCTACAGTGCATATCTCATGGCTGGAGTTGATCAAGACATTGGTGAGCATGAAGTGGATCATGCTGCAGTTCATGGTGTGGATCTTGCTGCTGATCACGGTGTTGATCATCCTGTAGACCATGGTCTGGACCCCTCTGACCATGGCTTGGATAATGCGACTGAGCATGACTTGGATCATGCTGTAGATCCTGGCTTGGATCATGCTGTAGATCCTGGCCTGGATCACACAACAGATCCTGGATTGGCAGCAGAGCATGACATGGATCACCCTATAGATCATGTGGATCCTTCATTAGATCATGATGTCGATCATCCTGTAAACCATGACATGGATCATGCTATAGATCAAGTGCCTGAGAATTTTGAGGCTTTGAAGCAAGGACATGATGAGGATACAGTCTCTGGAGGTGCAGAGAAGAGGTGGCCTGGATGGCCTGGAGAGAGTGTGTTCCGGATGTTGGTTCCTGCACAAAAAGTTGGCAGTATCATTGGCCGCAAAGGGGAGTTCATTAAAAAGATAGTCGAGGAGACAAGAGCTCGCATTAAGATACTTGATGGTCCTCCAGGGACGACAGAAAGAGCTGTAAGTTTTTCTTTTTCTTTCTCTCTTATATTTGTGCAATTAGGATATCTGGAAAGTGTAGAAATAGGATGGTTGAAAGAATTTGTTGATGCAAATTGTTTGATGGTTAGAGCTTCCAGGATACTATGTTCATATATTCAACTGAATCTATTATAGCATGCTTATATTTCGTTTTTCTTCTCTTTCTTGCTATCTAAGAAATTGATAATTTGGAATATGTCAGCAATTTTCAGGCATTGCAGAATATTTATACGGGGTTAGTTAGATGTGTTGTAATATTACAAGTTTGGTCATCTATCTATTTTTATTGGAATAAACCACCATTCAATTTTTGCTTTGACCTATATTTATACTACAATGCGTAAAAATTTAGAGAATTGACTTAACATCAATTACAAAGGAAGCTATTTTATGGAGGAGAGATCAATAAGACAAGCTAAATTTTATGAATTGACCTAACTCCATAACAAAGAAGCTAGCTTATTAAAGAGATTGGTAAAGCTAACCTTATAAATTTTTAACATAGATTGATTACGCAAGCTTAATTTTATGAATTGACCTAACTCCATAACAAAGAAGCTAGCTTATTAAAGAGATTGGTAAAATAAGCTTATAAATTTTTCCTGTGCTATAAATATAAATTCTATTAAGAAGAAAGAGTTTTCTAATAGTCATTAAAACATAAAAGAAATGGAACTGATCATTAAAACACACATCACAAGTCAGGGTTGTAAAGTTCTATGCATCATTTGTAAAACGAATCAAAATTTGTGCAAGTGATAATTAATTCTTTAAAATTCTTGGAGAAAGATCTGTAATTGCTGTTGGATATCTGATGCAACTGTTTCTCATCCAACTCTTTGGGTTCTTGTTAGTTACCAGTATTTTTCATGAAAGTCATTTGTTTTCTATGGATATCCGAATTAGTATCTATCTGCAACTTTGCAATGATATTAAGAGTGAGAATTCTAGGCGATAACACTCATTATGCTGTCACCCTTTAAGCATTGCTGTTTCCAAAACCTACAACATATGATTGGGAATTAAGAAATCAATTTTGAAGAGAGAACCTAAGAAATGATCATTTGGCTTTAAATGAATCGTTATTGTAAACGTTTGCGTAACTGAAAAGAAGACAAAGGAAGCCTCATCAGAAGAAATCGAGAGGATATAACAGAATTGCTTTTATTGCAATAACAAAATGAATCTTTGCAGGTTCTGTCCGCAAATTTTTAAGCAACGAATCAATCATCCTTAGGACCCCAAATTTGAAGAACCAAAGATCCAGATTGATGGGATCAGCATTGAGCATTGCAAAGTGCTGAAAAGTTGATTTGAATATACAGACATATTGTACGAACAACCGTACCACGAAGCTCTGCAATCTTTCTGGTAACTTCAGAAACTGCATGGTTGATTTCTGCCGCAGCTTGTAAAAACCACAAAGGAACCTGTTTTAATCAGCACAAGATGAGGCAGAAGCTGTTAACGCCAAAGTGCTAATCTAAATTTGTCATAATACACTTAAACTATTAATCAGAAAAAGCAACAAAATTTTTTTGGCCAACTTAGTAAATAATACACTGAAACTTGTTAATCCATTTTCATTTTTGTTATTTTCTCATTAAAACAATTCTCTCTTCGCAGGGATGATTATACCTCAGTAATTGAAAACATGATTCAGGAACCAAATCTAAGTTAGAAGTGTAATGGTAAATGAGTCATTAACTCTTAGTCCCTTGTTTAGGAGAAGAAAAAATCAAATGTTATGCACGAGGAAGCTATGATGAAAATTTTATGGAACAGCTGACATTAGATTTAGCATCATGGTTAACAGATAAGCAGGTGGTGAATTTATAATGCGTGTGAGTAGTTGAATTTTGAAAACAAAATTGACGACTCATTAATCCCCAGAGGAGGAGAATAAGGAAATAGTAGCCAATGCTTTTGTGTTGGAACTCTATTTTAGTTATAAAATATACCATATAGGATGCCATATAGTTTGAAATGTTACTCAGAAAGAGTTTTTTCATTATTTTTTATGCTTTGTTTTTCTCATGTGTTGCGCCATTCCATTTCCTTTCCTCTTCCCTTGATGTGTTCACGGACTTGAGTCACCATTTTTTTTTCCTCGGTTTCTTGTACTAACATTATTATGTAGGTAATGGTATCTGCCAAGGAGGAGCCTGATTCTTCTCTTCCTCCTGCTATGGACGGCCTACTGAGGGTTCACAAACGCATTATTGACGGTTTGGAGGGCGATTCTTCTCATGCTGCACCAAGTAGTGGAGCTAAGGTTTCAACAAGGCTGCTAGTACCAGCCTCACAAGCTGGAAGTTTGATAGGAAAACAAGGAGGAACCGTTAAATCCATCCAGGAGGCATCAGCTTGCATAGTTAGAGTTCTTGGTGCAGGTTTTCTCTTTTTGCTTCTGAGTTAGAAATGCTTTAGAATTCATTTTGTTATCTGTTTTCTAGAGTTGAGTTATTGTTTTTGTCAGAGTGAGCCACAATGGTTGATTTGCCTTTTTTTTCCAGAAAATCATCATGTTTGTCAATTATGCTTTGCTGGTTGCTGTGAGCTGTTTTTTTTTTTTTTTCCTCATTGTGCTATAATTGCCTTTTCTTCAGTAATGGCAAATTAACTGAGTTATTTGCAAACAGAAACTATATTAAATATGGATTTGTCATGCTCTAAGCTTATTAATTAAGTTTCTGAGTAATGGTGGAGGGGTGAACCAAGGGCATCAGTAACCTTATCACTGATGCTACTGACATTCTCACTGACATGGACAACTGCATTAGCAATATTACTTTTCTTTCCTCTGTAATACGTGCCTTTACTTTTGCTGCTAATTTGTTTATATTCCTTAACCACACCATTACCAACAATGCCTCTAGCTCTGCTATTCCTTCCCCCGCTGCCACCATTCTATCACTGTTTGTTATTTATAGTGGCACCATTTTGTTGGTTTCAATATCTAATCAATGACCACCACAAGCAATTCTTATTTTTTGAGGTTCTGGATTATGTAATTTATTATTGAGGTTCACAACGACATAATTTTGAATCCTAAAATTTGGAACATCTATCTGACCGCGACAAATTCCATTTCTTTAAGGTCCTACCTTTTTTGCTAAAAAAATTGGGCAAAATTTTTTAAGGATGCTGATTTAGTGGACCTTTTTGCCCTCGCACCTCCTGCCCTTACTTTATTATGAAAGTCATCTTAATAATTGATAATCTTAATGCCTCTTGTTCCTTGCTTTGAGTGCCTCGTATGTTCATTTTGTTTTGCAAGTTTTCATGCTTTGTATTCGGATACTTCTTGACTTGTTTCTGAATTTTATCGGTATGCCTAAACTCGCTATTTGTTGGATCAAATTGCTTCAGAAGATCTTCCAGTTTTTGCTCTTCAAGATGATAGGGTGGTTGAAGTTTTGGGGGAAGCAGCTGGGGTGCACAAAGCAGTGGAGTTAATTGCATCTCATCTCAGGAAGTTTTTAGTTGACCGAAGTATAATTCCATTGTTTGAAATGCATGTAAGCTGCTCTTCATTAAGATTGGAATGACTTTATCTATTATGGCATGAACAGCCTGATGAAATTCTGATTTATATAATTTACCAGATGCAAATGGCGAACCCTCCAATGGAGCAGATGCCACCACATCAATCATGGGGTCCACCTCAACCTCTTCCTCCAAATCCTGTTGGAGGACCTGGCTATGGACCAAATTCTCAATATATGCCACCTCCTCGGCAACTTGACAATTACTATCCTGCTGACATGCCACCTCCAATGGAAAAACAGCCGCACCAGGGTATATCTGCATATGGAAGAGAAGTTCCCATGGGTGGCCATGCTTCATCAAATGCTCAAGCAGCACCATCAATGATAACTCAGGTTCTTTTTATTCTCTTTTGTTTTCGTTCCCCCAACCCACCCTCCCTCTCATCGTAAGAAATTTGAGGTGCTATTGGCACCTTTATGTTGGGGAATGGTTAGGATGTGGATCACATGTTCTGATTCGTGAAGTGAGGCCAAAAAAAAAAAAAAAAACACAGGATTTCATCTGCTACATAAAAATTTTCTTTTCTTTTCTTTTTTTCCCCTCCTCATTTGTTGAAGAGGTCAATCATTATGCAAAATAACTGTCAGTCTTGTTCGAATAGACCTTGATTTTCTGGGTGCATGGTTTGGAAAGTGTTGGTGATTGAATGTGATAGAAATTGATGATGGGTTGTTGACACAGATTTTTTGGTGTTGGTATGAGTTGTGCAAGTGCTCACGTGGAGTTTTGCCTATTGCTATAGCTTTCCATAAAAGGTTATATAGTAATTTTACAGCCCAGATTAGTTGGAGTGGAATTAGAGACCTGTTAATACAAATCACATTCAAAGATGCTTATAATCATTTTCCTTTAGTATTATATTTTATTTTATTAGTTTTTGGTTGGGATGGGTTTGTAATTTTCTTAGGCTTTGAAATGAGGATATAATCTGTAGTTTGGTTTACAAACCTTTTGTGTTGTATTTCTTTCTGGCACTTTTGGCACCTTTGGAGGTTTCAAAATGATTGATGGGTTTTGTGGGTTTTTGTGCAGATTACACAACAAATGCAAATTCCATTATCTTATGCAGATGCTGTTATTGGGACAGCTGGTGCAAGTATAAGCTACATTCGACGTGCTAGTGGGGCAACTGTTACTATACAAGAAACTAGAGGTGTTCCTGGGGCAATGACAGTTGAAATCAGTGGAACTGCTTCTCAAGTCCAAACAGCTCAGCAGCTGATACAGGCAATATTCTGTGTCTTAACTTGTAGACTAAAATTGATCTTCCCCTTCTCATTTCTAGATGTATCCTAGTTGGGTGACATGTTTCCTATAGCGCTAATTGTATCTGAATAGGCATTTGCTTGTTAGCATGCTTGCATGAGATTTTGATAGCGCTAATTGTATCTGAATAGGCATTTGCTTGTTAGCATGCTTGCATGAGATTTTGACAAGGCTTGTGTCTATTTATTTCTTGCAGTCCCGCAATTATTCATGTTTAGTCTAGAATCTGATTTTAGGCTTAATAAGGATGCTTACTAACTCAAGGTAAATATTGGATTTGTTGTTTGTCAAACAGACAATATAATATCTGATTTGCTTTCCTGGTTGTGCGGCAGGACCTTGCAATTACAGGTTGGACACTGAAGTGTCTGCTAGGAATTTCCATAAAATATTTGTTAAGGTTATGGTATCTGTTCTGTAGAGTGTATAAGGATATGTATACTATTAAGTGTTGCAAGGTTGGGAAAAGGGTGATTGATGCAGGAAGGGTTATGTCACTAAATAGGAACACATTTTTTATAATGGAAAGAACCTACTTGACAATTCTTTTTAAACATCCATGTGCACTAAGGTGTAATTTTAATTAGGTTACATCTTTTGAGTTGGGAGGCTGTGGCCAAGATTATGTAGCTTACTAGATAGTGATTATCATGGCATGTAGTGTCATAGCATGATGCTGCACAGTATATTTCCTGCCTAGAATGATGTGCGTAATGAAAGAAAATAGTGCTGTAAAAAAGGTTGAAGTTTTGATGGGTGATGATTGATTCTTATCGTGTATATGTGAGTGGCCTACTTCATGTGGATGAATGCAAGACTAAGTGGTTTAAAACTTGTTCTTCAACAACAGGATTGGTTTGAGTTATCAGGATTGGTTTGAGTAATCTTTTACTACATGCTTACGTGCTCATTCTTATTCTCATTTATGTAAACAAAAGGTTCTGTTTTTTTAATATGAGCTGAACTTCTACAATATCTTGTTTAATAGTTTGGCTAAATATGGTAGTTGGAGATCCCAGCTATTGATTTGCATTAATTATAGTGTATATGCATTTATATTGGATTCTGATGGTATACTCTTCTATTGCAGAATTTTATGGCTGAAGCTGGAGCACCAACACAGCCTCAAGCAGGTGGGGCTGCAGACCAAGGGTATAATCCTTATTCTCATAGTTCAGTGTATGCTTCTCCACCATCCAATCCAGAACACACAGGCCATACTGGGAGTTATGGCTCAATGTATGGTGCAAACTATGGGTACTAAGGAGCTCCAAGTTGGTTTGCTCATTGATGAGACTTGTAATGATTTCAAACTTAGAGGATAAAATCACCAAATAATCTATTTAAGCCTGCTGTAGTTGTACTTTGCATTTCTCTAGATTCTTGGCTAGACAAATTACATATATTAGATCCTTCATGTGCGTTAGGCTTTGACCATGGTGTTGCAAATACAATGTTTTAAATTTATGTGCAACTTCAGCCATGCTCGACTCTTTTATGATAGCTTCTTGTTGATGAAATTTTTGTCACTATTAAGGTACTTGTGCTTCCAGTAATTTATCTGCTCAGGTTAATCTCGTCACCCATTTAAATTTTGTCTCTACTTTGTATAGAAATGGTTTTTGTTGGAACCGAGTTATTTTTGTGAATGGAGAGGTATGACCAGCTCGTTAATTCTCTGTCCTCTATCTGAGCATGTCTGCAGGTTCTTGACCTTTGTTTGAATGGGTGGCTAATTGGTTAGCTTTTAGCTCATTTGTTGGGGCAAAGTCGATTCCGTCTCTTTAGATGATGTACCTAAGGTTGATGAGTTTGTTATCTAGTTATCCTTTTCTAATTAGATAAAATGAACGCCTACTCTTTAACCATGGTATGATGGTCAAATTAATCTTTAACCAAGGCAATTTTAGGAATTGAATTTTTATCCATGAGTGATCCGGAACTAAAGTATGACTTTTAATTTCCACAAATCAATCTTTTCTATTCATTTCATTTGCATCCTACGTTTGAGACATTAAAAATGAATAAAAAAAATCAAATAATAGCGCTAAAAAACATTGGTGTAACCTTGATTACAATGGACAAAGAAAAACGAAAACAGAAGGAAAGTAAGGACGATTGCGAGGGGAGCACACATAATTTATCAACGAAGCAAACATGTGTTTATTTTGTGAGTAAGATTTTTATCTTTTATTTAATTTTTGGATCTCTATTTTCAACAAAACGTTACGATTTTCTTAAATTAAGTTATATTTTTTTAAAGAAGAAATTTCTACTATCTTGGTATGTATTATCAACCTAAAGTCAATATATATTTCTTTGAAAGTATCATTTGTCATTTTATCCTATTCAACTTAGAAGGAGTAAAATGATAAATTCATTTAAAATCTTTTACAAAATTGGTCAATTTTTGAGACATGTGGTGCAAAATGCAAGAAGACAATCTTTTTTTTTGAAGTAAAAAATGCCCTTTTCTAGTGAACCCTTTCGTTTAAGATAATGCATTGATGCCTTATATAAGAAATCATATGATTTGATGTTTTAAATGACGTTGAGTGGTATATATATGGGTTATGATCCTATCTAACCCGCTACGTCTTTTCTATAAGTTAATCATGGTTTTCAAATAAAAATAGTGCTTATCGCCTAAGCGAATTAGATTTGAGATAAAGAAAGACTATTTTTAGTGTACCTTTTACAAACAAAATCTTATTTTTTGTTGTCCCGACTTTGAACCTTTAATGATTTCTTTTAATAATAACCTAGGCTAGGATCATCTTTCATATTAGAGGTAATTTTAGAAGTTCATAAAACTGATCATATTCTAAGAAAGAAGCTAGTGAAAGATTTGGTTCGAAAAAAGCTGTGAAAGGAACTTTAGTAATGATTCTTAAAAAAAAAAAAAAAAAAAAAAAGAAGAAGAAGAAGAAGAAAGAAAAGAAGAAGAAGAAGAAGAAGAAGAAGAAGAAGAAGAAAAAGAAAAAAGAAAGATGAAAATAGAACGAAATAATACTAGGATAAAATAAAGTGTGATAAAATAACCCTTAATGTAATTTGAAGTTAGAAAAAGGTTTAAAAATTCGAGAGATGACAATAGTGGATATAAAAGAAGAGCTGAGATTAAGAGATGAGATCAATCGTAAAGATGACAAAATCATGGTGGCAAGTCTAAAACGATCTCGATGAACAATTAAGTGATCACAAGTCTCTATACACTCAAATTCTTTTTGAACCTTGTATATCTTTTCGTTCACAAGCCGAAACCTTAGCTTACATTACATGTCTTTAAAAGCCCTTTCTAATAAAAAAAAATGACTTGTTTTGTGTTGATAAGCTTTAGCATCGAATGAAACAAAAAACATTTTTGAATGAAACTTGACTTATTTGTGCATTGCAAATCGTTATTTATGACATTAAATCATAAGTTTTCATCAAATATATGAGGGCAAGGAAGAAATGAAATTGAGACTTTCTAGTCAAACTATCCATTTGAGCATTTCGCTCTCTTTGAGCCAAGCTTTGAAAATTGCCTTTAAAAAAAGTGACTTCTTTCCTAAACTTTGATGTGATGCAAATATATTTTACTCACTTAGCTCAAATAAGGATCACCTCGAGGATAACATCATAATATTTGCATGATGTGTGTTGGCTTTTGACCAAATGAACCATATATCTTCTTAAATGAGATTTCACTCATTTCACTCACTTAGCTCAAATAAGGATTACCTCATGGATAACATCATGATATTTGCATGATGTGTGCTAACTTTTGACCAAATGAACCATATATATTCTTGAATGAGATTAACCTAAAAGGTTGAGAATATTATCATCGTTAACCTACATTCGAAGTACAATGAATGTAAGCTAACAAGACACTCGTGTCTTAATCTTAATGTTTAATGTGTAAACTATACTAACGAAACCTAACATTGGCAAGGTAGGTCCTACACTTTAGCTAAAAAGGTGTTATAGATTTTTTGTGTTTTATTCTTTTATTTATATTCTTTTGATTGGAATAACTAAATTCGCGACAATAGATCATCTTAAATTCCTTATTAACTCATGTAAATTTATTTAATTATTACCCATCATCATTATTATTCAATTATTGATTTCCTTGCATTATTTACCATTTAGGTTAATTGGTGCGCGTCTAATCATATTGTCTTTGTCCTAAGGATACAACATGCAATGGACAATTTAAAATAACCACACTAACATTTTACCATTAGTGCTTTGGTTACATATAAACTACTCGTTTACATACAAGACTAGTTATATGCCAACTACTACAAAATTGCCTTATTGACTAATTACATCATTTTATAGATACTTCATTTACTTGTTCATTGGTTTTATCATAAGATAAAATAGACCAATTAACCTTAACACATACGGGACAATAGCTAGTATCGAAACGGAATGGCATGCAATAGATCCACCTAGAAGCTGAACTCCCACCCAAGGTATATACGTTTGGTGCACCCCTCGAAAATTAGCTTGGCGAAGAAATAGGCCATTGTACCTTAAGTATCTACATCACAAGGAAATAAGTGAGCGATAGCCCGGTAAGTCAACTTATGCATGTCATGTATGTGTATGCATACGCATATTAAATCCTTTTTCCATGTCATAATACGTTTCATGATCATTCTGAAAATCTTTTTTTGTCTTTGGACATGTCCCATTTAGGTACTTTAGGGTTTTTATAATATATATCCGGCGAACCGGACCCGTCTACGAACTCGCCTTGTCGAGCCTCTAAAAGCGCACATCTTTACTTGTCCGATCCCGAACCATTACTATTATCATATGGAAGATTCGTGAAGCCTTTTCTTCATAAAAATCCTCGAAGCCATGAAAACCATATCATTTAAAACATTTCCAATTGCTATTGGAAAACTATAACATAAAACGAGGTTTTCGTAACTTTTAAAACATTTTTCGTGAAATTGGGCATGCATAAGCACTTCATTGATAATGCATAAACATGAGGTGCATTCTATGAATAACCATGTGATTATGCTATAATAATGTATAAAATCAACAATATAACTGTATTAATAATATTACCTTGCATAACCAATACCAATCATCATAGTCCATACCAATACCAACATACCATTCCAAACCACATAACATCACCATCATTCACATTTCACAAAATACAATAACATGATTCAAGTGCATTAATCATCATTCCAAAAACACAATTAGGCATAAAAATCTTGCAAAACAAACCAAAATTCCTAACTTCCAATTCAAGGCCGAATTAGGTTATAATTTAACCTTATCATTTTCGTCAATTCTTCATATCCAATTCACTCTAAAGTTTTCCCTAATTTAATCCTAATGTCATGAATTAACCTAACTAAGTATCACTTAAATAATTACCGGTATTAATTCCAATTTGGGCCTTATTTGGCCCAAATTCTAACTTCATTATTATAAATCAATTTTTAGTTCCAACTAAAATCTTGCATTCTTATTAATCTTATTACACCATCCAAAGTCCAAATTAACCAATATAGGGATTAAAGACCATTTGAAACTAAACCCTAAACTTTCCCATTTTAAACCGAATATATCATTAGTCTTATCCCTATTATTTTCTTCTCTTTTCATCTCCAAATTTTAATACCAAGTAGATTAGCTACACACTAACACTAGGGATCAATTTAATTAACATTCATGAAGCAATTTCTTGTCTAAACCCGAATTCGGCCTTAATGGGCTGAATTTCGACCTAAGCCAAATTAAGCAATTTTCTTAAAATTTTTCCTTCCTACACATCAAATTATACTGATTCAAGCACTAAAAACTGAATGGATGAAACTCAAACCCTAAAAATGTAAGTTTAGGCCAAATGTAACCCTAGGAATTTCATGGATTTTTATTCAATTAAATTGAGGTTTTTCATTTCTAAATACAAATTCATGCCTAATTGAGTCATATTCAAGCGCTAAAACATCAATTACATGAAAGCATAAAAAAGTCCTAAATCACCACGTTAGGCCGAATGCTTCCCTTTAAACAACCGTAAAATTTTTTGAGTTTCAAACCTAAATTCAAGTCCAATCAACATAATTTAACCTTAATTGCATGAATTACAAGCTTAAATCCATTTCCTCCAAATTTATTTCACCAAGAACCTTAACCCTAATTTTTCGGATTAAACCTAAAATTCACAAATTACGGCACATAAACCACAAATTAACATCAATTGAACAATCCTTGTGATGTAAATGGAGTTAAATTACCTAGATAAGCTCCAATTAAACTTCAAAAAGTGAGATAATTGAAAAATTCTTCCTTCCTCTTTTTTCCCCCAATTTCGGCCTAACTTCCAACTTTTCCCTTGATGACTTCTTGATCTCCTAACTTGATTTCCTTGCTTGATTAGTTGATTTAAGGTTTATGGAGGTGATTTTAGTGGTTTTTGGATAGAAATTTCTATAGAAATTTTGCAAGAGTTTCCCTTGATTTTAGCTATTTTCCATGCATTTTTCATAATTCCTTGCATCCCTATTTATAGGCAAAATTTTGGTGGACTTTTGAACTCATCTCCACCATTCAATTGTTGTGTTCTGTAGTGATCTTGGCCCTTAAATTAACTCTTAATCCTAGCTCTTCAATTGGACAAGTTTTTAACCTTTAATTTTTCTTTAATTCCTAACCATCCATTTTGCATCCCTCTTAACCTCTCCTTTTTAAGCAAGTCAAAGTTCATTAATAAGGCCTTAATCATGCAGAAAAATTCGGCTGGAAGGGTGGAGAAGTGTCCAAAAATTTTCTTAATTTTAGTTCTTCATTTTACTAATCTTTTCTCTAATTACTCATGCAAGTGTCCTTTAATTTTTCAATTGACCACTCTAGGTCCTTCTCTTAAAGGTATCTTAATAAATTTTAAACTCCTTAGATTCATAGCTAATTTAATTTAGAAGTTCAAACTCTTAATTTTATGCAATTAGGCCCTTAATTCTAAAATTTTATTATGTGCTTCTCAAAAATTTGATTTCTCTCAAGAATAAATTCAAAAATTTATTAAAAGAATTTAATTATGATTTACATAATTTTTATACCCTCATTTAGGCCTTCAAATTAATTATTTAGTGTGAAAATTATGCTATTTCCTATGAAAAATATTCCTTATATGTGGAAAAATTAATTTAAATTTATTAGACACTCCTACACATCCCAAATGATTTTATTATGCCTTTAAAATAAATTCCTCACACTTTTTAAGTGCCTAATTTAATTATTCTACCTCTAAAATACTATTCTTACGCATAAAAATTCAAATAAAATATTCACAAGCACATAAGAAAATTCACACAATCATATAAAGTAATTCAACACCCCTCTAAAAACTATTCTAAGCAATATATATATATATATTTTTCATGCACATGCAACATGTTTCAATAATTATTTCATACAAAAACTACTATTCATGCAACGTAAAAAATTAATAAAATATTCATTAAGCATAAAAAGACTATCTCAACTATTTTAAATATTCTTTCAAGCCCTTGAAGATTATTTTTTGCCTTCAAAATATTTCTTACATGTGTTTAATATTAAATTTTTATTTAATTTTAATTTTAGTGGGTACCGGTTATTAAACTTTCGTATGAACATCTCTATGATTTCTTTTAAATGATTCAACTTGGTTTGATGAAAATTATTCAAATATACAACTTAATACATAAAAGTAAAAACAAGTAAAAATTGAGTCTTCTTTAGAAGTCGAAAAAGCTCAAAGACAAATTCACAAAATCAAGCTCAAATATCAAAAGAAGATGAATGATATGAGCCACAACGATGAGATGTGTATGACGAATGATATGCATCAACAATTTTAAGGCATGCTATGGTCAATCTAATCATGAAATTATGTTAGCATTGAAAGATCAAGCATTTCAACTCTCCTCTTTATCAAAAGCCACAAATAGATAATATGATTTATGCCTAAAAATTCATTAGCATAATTATTTTATTTTGCTTCTATTCTTAGTTCACCTACCTAATATGATTCATGATTAGTGACGGACGGAGGACCAAATGTCCACGGGGGAAAAAATAAATATTTATTAATTTGTCATGGTTTACACAAACTTATATATAGTATAAATAACATGCCAAAATATATTTCAAAATAGAGATGTCATTCTTTCAATTCCCAAAATCATCTATAAGCAAATTGATACTAAAATTTTCAGTAATTTTTTTTTCAATATACACTAACAAACAATCAAAAAGAAAATCATTTTTCATCTTGTTACGAAACTTAGTCTTGACTATGCTCAAAGCTGAAAATGATTGCTCCGTGGTAGCCTTAGAAACTCGGAAGAATAAGAATAAGTGTTATCACTTTATACACAAGTTGATAAATTTTAAATTTTCTTGTATTCATCAGCCATTGACACAAATTCCAAATAATCTACTGTATATAATCAAGAAAGTAGTACAATTACTCAAGTTTCTCCATTGAAGTGCTTCTCCTTTTTATTTCTTTTCAATTTAGGATTAACATTTTACTTGAAAACAAGCACTTTCAAATTTTTTTATCACACTTAACTTATTATATACCAAAATCATGATTTCTAACATAAATTAGATGATCCTCTAATGAACGTATATAGAGAACTGATATGTTGCTCGCCAATGAATTTGGGTCAGTATATTCAACGGCAAAAACACTTGGGATTTTTGTGTTCAAAAGATGTTTCTGATGGCAGCGGGTCTACATATCTCGCGATCATTTTCCGAGGAATAAGTATGGGAAATTTTCTGAGGTGTGAAGACATGACTTGGCACCCAAGATATATTATATATAGCTACATGAAAAGTACCTTGGTTTTTCCGCAATCTAAATACATCAAGTGCATAATTTTGAAATCGAAATGCCATTTAACCATTTGATAGTTAAGAGTGTTACAGTTATTTCAGTTGGGGACTCCTACTTGTAGTGCTAGACAGACACTTCAAAACGAAACATAAATTACAATACCAATACCCAATAAAATTTTATAAAACGAAATACTAATTTACAGAAACAAGCAAACCACATGAAATACTAATTAGAAAGCAGGAATCAATGTTAGAGAATAATATAAATCATATCATAAAACCTTACCCGACAACTTAAGTTTGTAAGTAAGATGGTTCTTTGACAATCTATTAGTACTTTCTTATAGAAATTTAGAATGATTTTTGTCCGCGTGCATCTTTATTGGGATTTATATGTTTTTGCCATAATACAAAAGCATGGTAGAAAAATCTGGATTCAGAATTATTAGAGCATATATTCAATATTGAATAGTTAAATAAAAAAAATGATTGATATATTAGGTTGAGAAATGTTCACCCACTATAAGATTAAGTCTTTTTAATGAAATCCAATCTTAATTATTTAATCCTATATGGTATCAGAAACTCAGGAGTCACCCACCCTATATACGCAAATGACCTGGAACTTGCTGACAGAGAGAAGTTCCTGTCTTAGAGAATGTTGCGAAGTGCTCACAGTTGTTAGATATGAGGTTATATGTACCGAAACCTTCTTTCAACTTACGTTTTGCAGTCTCAACAACTTCATTAGCCGGTTTCGATCTCTTACTGGTGCAAGTACTGCACATGACATGAGAAGTGATACGAAGCACGTTCATGGGTACATCATAATTATAACGACAGAGTCGTCCACCACAGAGGAAGCACTCAAGACAGGTTTCCACCACTGCTTGCTGCATATTTCCTGCGAAGGCACATTTTTTGCAAGCCACTCTGGGTCCACCAGCTTTCGGGCCGATGGAATGAATTACTCTTCCATCGCCAATGTATATCCCTGTCATAAATTAAAAAAATATATATTTGTTGAAAATGTTGGAGTCTTGGACAAATTAATAAATTAACTAGTAACCAGAGAAGTGTCAAAGTGAAGGAAAGCACTGACCATGGTGGCTGTACTCGTAGAGCAGAGCTCCCCTCCACACATAGATATGAAGACCCACTGGTAGTAGGCGAATGTCAATTCTACTGTAGTCATGTTCGACCCATAAGCTTGGATGAATTTCTTCTTCTACAATCATCTCTCTAGCTTAATTATTTATCTCAAGCTGAATAGTTAGGTTAGGATGCCGTCTTTAAATATTGTGGCATTAAGGATGTGATATTGCTTTTTGATTCTTGCCAACCTACACGGGTCTTTATATTCTTTTGGATGCTATTGCACTTGGGATTCTATGGATTTTTTTTTCTCAAATGCCAAATAGAGATTAAAATGCCATAATATATAGACCTGAATATGATACCTCACCTACGTGATATTAGACACGTACTCATTTTCTAGGCATTTTGAAAAAAAAAAAAAAAAAAAAAAAAAAAAAAAATAAACCGAAGAACCTGATGAGGTCCACAACAACTTTGGATCATAAACGCTCCTGCTGCCTTCAATTTGTTGTGAAGAGTGAATGGACGTTTTGAGATGGCATTGCTCTAAGACAATTGGTCTAGCATAGATTGCCATCAAAGACGTTGGAGTTCTCTCGATTGGGATGTAAATTATTTGGGTGCTTAATTTCCGCTTTTTTTTCCTAAATAAATCTTTGCCTCTTGTTACAAAAACAACATTCTGTATTGAAGAGTTAAATCACCTAATAGCTCAAGTGGTTGGGTTGAAATAGTTACTTGGTATACTATCGAGTTTTGATGATCTATCAAATTATTACGAATTTGAATCTTATCATCTCTATTCTTATTCTAATTAATTAAGTCTAAAATAATATAAGTTTGTATAAGTTTTTAATCCAAAGAATTTCATTTAAAGAACTGCGATAGGAAATAATATAAAATCATTCCTTAAACCTCAACTAATAGCTTAAACTATTGAATGAAGATAGTCTTTTGATATTTAGGCGGTAGATCCATGATTTTGTATTTTGGCTTAGTCTCCAAGGTTATATTTTTCTGGATTTTGTTCAAATTGTTGCGTTCTCGGTAATTATGGGTTTTTGGCTATTGCTTTTACTAAAAATTATTGAATATTTTTTTTCAAATTATATATGAAAACTAACAAATATCTATATAGACATTACAGCAGAAATTCATGTTCTGATAGGATGCAATATTTAAGTGCAAAACAAATTAATTAAGCTTCAGTACTCTCTTAATAATAAGATACTAATTAGATAATATGAAAAGAAGAGAAACTATTGAAGAATAGAGGTTGTACCAGATTTGAAACCGAAATATTGCTAAGCTCCAACTTTTATAGCTAGGAATCAATTATTGCGGGAACCCAACGCTAATTCTCTGTATGTATATTTATATATGACATTTGGTGCGAACCAAATAGTAGCTGACAACCGCGTTCATATCATCAGATTGTCCAACAAAAGTTCGAATATATATATAGAATTATTTAGTACAATTTCTTTAGATATGATATGATGTATCATAAAATTTTGCTCACACCTGGAATGAGACTCCACTTTTATTTATAAATTACATTAATTTTTCGAGTTTCATTGTTTTTTTTTTGTTATATATATATATATATATATATATATATATATATATATATATATGTATGTATAATAGCTACTCCACGAGTCCACTTTCAAAGAGACAGACAAAAAAAAAAAAAAAAGCACTCGGACTCACCAAAAGTGATTTATATTAATTACTCTATGAGTAACATAAAATTACTCTTAAATGTGGACAAGGATTTTTTTTTTTCAAATAAGTCATGTATATGTCATATTACTTTACTAATATATTAATTTTGAGAGATTAATTTCATCCACTATAAAACCTAAATATTTAAAACCTTAAAAGAAGTCTCCCTTCTCTTTTTTATTTCTATTCAATTTGGGATTAACATTTCAAATGTTGGATTATTTTTTAATAAAATATAGAATACTATACTTATTATTATTAAATAAAAACAACAATAATAAAGTATTCAATGCATAAGTTAATATGGTACATTAAAATATATTTGTTACAAGAGTTATATTGTTTTAATCAATTAAGAAATGGCTCCATTCTTTATAAAATAAGTTCCTTACCATTTTTATAAGTATTAATTGCACTTAATGTTTGAGAAATAATGATTGCATTTATTTTTTCATTTTAATGGGTCTTTCACAATGCCTATATATAGATGCTATTGTTTATTTGATAAAGTACACAAAAAGAAAAAAGAGCAATATGCAGCATATATGCTTGTTTCTCTTGACTAAAGTGATCAACGAGCTCTCTTGTTTTTTGAGCTAAAAATAGTAGTGCTTTCTAATAAAGAAAAATAATATATATTTTTTTTGTATTTTTTAATCTCCCACTATAAAGCCATATAATTGTTATTTATATTATCTTTGGATAAGAGTGGTGCTAATATACTTAGAGTTTTAAGTCTTACAAATAGTGCAAATTTGTTAAGACATGACAAGGTGGCTAAGCTTGTTGTATTCCCGAGATGGTGTGCAATATATTCTTGATCTGTTACATTAGATAAATTCTATGGATGACACGTATCGTCTCAAGAAAGCAACCTAATTGTGCCTTAAACCAATCAACTAAAAATTATGGTAAAACTATTTTGATGTTTCGGTCATCTTTATACCATGACATGTGCTAATGTGATTTAATCCTGAATTATTTGACGATCAAGGTAAAAAGTTTTAATTCTTTTGTCCATCTTAATTTTTAAAAATTTATTCATTTATTGTGTAAATTTTATTGATTAATTGTGTTCCTTTTGTGTACTAGGAACAACAATTTGAGACAATATCATGTCTCTGATTTTTTGATTAAATTTGAGAAAAGAATTTGGGAAGAGAATTTAATGTTATGCCTTTTATAATGTTAATGCCACTACTTGCCTATTGCTTTGGTTTTTTATTATCATGAATTAATTATTGTTTTATGTTTTCACTAAGCATAAAGAAAGTATTAAAATAATAATGATAATAATTTGCATGACAAAGAAATTGATTTGTATGTTATTTTTTTTTTTTTGTAACTTATGGTTACCTATCAAATATTATTATTCAAGGTCAATAGTATTGATAATGTTGAAAAATAATATTTGTGACATTAACTCGTGATGTTAATTTATTTGTGTGAATTTTATTACCAGTACAAATTTAAATAATTTGAAAAATGATTTATATTGTTCAATGATAATTGACATTAAAATTATTTGTTTTGTTGTGATGTCATGTGACCAAGATAAATGAGAAGCTAACGAAGAAAATATATCCAATATTTTTATATGGATATGTTGATCATATTGGATGCAAAGTCAAGAAAGCCAAATTTATGTGGCATTGGAGGTAATGAGAGCTATGTCAATATAAAAACTATTTCAAGTCTCCAACGGTACTTACATTAAGATAAGTATAAAAAGTCAACTAAGTATTTTAAATGTCAAAGTATTAAATTCTTTGATTTTTACCTTATATATTTGAGATTTACTTTTGATGATGAAAGTATGTGATACTTGTATTTACAAGTAATTTTAGATTGTTATATGGATATTTATTGGTCTATACTTGAGTTATTTAATCTATAAGTCATGATTAAAAAAAATAAAAAATGGAGGAGGAAATGCTAATTATCATATAAATTGTTGTTATTGAATTGATGTTGGTTCACATGATTAGTTTATCAAGACTTGAAATGTCATATACTAATTAAAATGTAGTTAATACTAATTGTTTTTATGTGACTACTTTTGAAGTTGTCGTTATAATTTTTGTTTGACACCCTTACTTGATTGTGACTATATAAACAACTCGTGAAAATAATAATTTTGTTAGCAGATTATTAGTAAAATAAAAGTTCATGATTTAATAAAGGATTTTTTATATATTATTTTCTATGTGAAAATAAAAATTCGATAAATTATCTTATTTTTTAAAAAATATATCTTGCTAGTAGTTTAGCTATAAGAATAAATTATAAATGTTGATGATGAAATAATACCATAATACATGTCATCACTTTGTCTACAATGGTAGCCGTAAAATTATTTATTATGTGAACAAGTGGGGGCATAAAAAAATTGCTATTGCATTAAAATTTTGTCCGAGAACATTATTATGTAATTCAAGATAAATTATCATAATTTTTCTCGTGATGTTCGAATTTTTTTACCACTTGTAAATTTTTAATATGATGCTATTGGAAATATTTATAAAAGCATTCCTATTATTCAAAAGGTATAATGATGCTTATAGAATATTTGGTAAAAGCATTCTTATTATACAAAAGGTATAATGAGGCCTATGGAATATTTGGCAAAAATATTGAAAGAATTGGTAGATTTTGTGACACTCCTATTATACAAATGAGGTATAATGGTGTTTTGATGATATAATTTGATAAGTCGGATTAGAGACACTCCTATTGGAAACCTTTTTTCAACTTTTCTTTTGCTGTAACTACTTGGATAGTATCTTAGAAAATGTTGCAGTGAGGTTATTTGTCATTGATAGATCATACATCCTATGGAGGTACGTAATAAATAAAAAAATTTCTCCATCTAAGGGCCCAAGATTAAGCCGTTGAATCTACTAACCATACATACATGAATATTAAGCAATAAATAAAGGATTACATCGATCTAAATTTCTTTTTTCGAAAAACCGTCCAAGTGTCCGACCTCTATTAATGATCTACGTAGTCTAAGTATCCACAAAGAATCACTCAAAATCAATGGGGTGCTAACTTCACCTTTTCCGATTTAGTATTTTCTATAGAAATCAATCCCGGGCAATTTTGCAACAACCTTAAAAGAGAAAGAAAGAGTATATCTTGCTAGGGTTTAGGAGAAAACTATTTTCTCCTTATTTTTCTCCCTTGATCGTGTGTGTTCTTCTATTTTTTGAGGTCGGTCTTAATTCTCTCTCCCTAAAATCCCTTGTGTTGGCCGAATTCTCTCTCTCGTTTTTTTTTCCATATAATGCTACACCTCCCTCTCTCATATATATTTATAGGAGAGTTTCCTTGTCCTCTAAAGACAAGGAGAGGGGCGGTAATGAGTTCCTAAAGGACTTTAGGTTGTTGCTTCCTTATCCTCCAAGTA